TTCCTCATCCACCCAAAATAGGAACAATGCCATACTTCTCACTCCTAAAGCTGTCCTGCAGATCCTTGGGGTTAAAGGATGTGGCCTAGCACATTAGCAGACATTCAGTAAGTAACTGTTTCCCTCCTCTGACACTCAATTTGTCTATTCTTAAAAAACAAGTTCTTCCAAAGCACTATAAGTTTCTATTAGTAAGTAACCAGGCAGCACTTATACCACTGTAGAAAATAAAGAACAAGAAAAAGTTGTTTACCCAACAACTTTTTCTCTTTTCTAAATTCAAATAAAGGAAAGGAAAATACATGCTACAACAGAGAACGAGTAATCAAGATAGTGGAGGAGTGAGAGAAAATCACACTTACCTCCTCCCAGTACCAACCTGGAATTACAACTGAATTGTGGAGAAATCACCAGGGACAAACAACTGAACAACAGCAAGAGAGGAGCCTTATAAACTCAGACAGACACTAATTCTTGTCAGCTTTAGCACAATCTAACCGGTAAGGAGTGCAGTGGACTCGAGGAGGCGGGTGGGGCATCCATGGGCGGCAGCACCAGAAGGATATTGAAACGGCCAGCAGGATCCCCTTAAGAAAAGTGGAGTCTAAACCATGAGTGGGGATCTCAGGCCTATAGCACCAAAGCCCAAAAAGCACACAGACAACAGACAGCTGAGAAAAGCAGCAGGGTTCCTCTCTGCCAGAGACAGACAGCTGGAGATGCAAAGAGCCGTTTAAAGGACCAGTGTATAAATTTTTATTTGTAGCCATTTACCCTGAACTTCCGCAAAGCTGGGGGCAGAGTGGGCTAGAGACACCCGGGAAGAGACTGGGGAAGGAGGCTTTGGGGAGAGAACTGAGAGAGTAACTGGAGAGGTCCCAATGCTGACTCATCCCATATGGCAGCAGCCATGTTGCTCAGGCAGACCGCTCCCCTGAGCGGCAACAATGTGAGGGGACCCAATAGCCCTGCCCCCAGGAAGGCCACGGCCCTGGCCTATGATGTCTCTAAGCCAGCCTGTCGAGTGCAGAGTGGCAGCCACAGATAGTAGACCCCTTGCTAAAAGAGGCACAGAGTGGTCTACAGGCATTTGAGGAGAGACTGGAGACAGAGGCTTTGGGAAGAGAACAGAGAGAGTAGCTGGCAGGATCCCAGTGCTAACTCCTCCCCCATATGGCAGCAGCCATCAGGCTCGGGCAGACCACCCCCCCAAGCACCAGCAGGTTGAGAGGACTCAATAACCTCACCCCCATGAGGGACTCTGCCCCACCATATGGTGCCTCTAAGCCAGCCTGCTGAGTACATAGTGACTAGATTAACAGCTGAAGGAGACAGCCACGGACAGTAGATTCCTGAAAGTCTCAAACAGACCGATTAAGGTCAGAAAGGGTCAACATTTGACATCATCAGAGGCAAATCCAGGAAAAAAAAACAAGTGTTCTCCTACCATAGAAGTTCATACCACAAAGTCAAGAAATCAAGACAGATCAATTTAAGAAGCAGAATCAAAAAAGAGTCTCACAAATAATGGGAAGACAAAGAAAGACCCCCAGTAGAAGAGAAAGGAGGAATCCCCAGAAAGAGAACCAAATGAAATAGAGATCAAGTCAACTATCAGATACTGAGTTCAAAACAATGGTTCAAAGGAAGCTCAATGAGCTTAGTGAGCTCAGAGAGAATTACCAAAAACTACAAGGAAACTATGAGGAACTTACTGAAAACTGTATCAGCATGAAGAGGGACACAGAAACTATCAATAAGAGACAAGAGGAAAGGAAAAACACCATTTCTGAATTGAGGAACACAGTAGAAGGAATTAAAACAAGGCTAGATGAAGCAGAGGATCTAATCAATGAGCTGGAGAATAAGGTAGAAAAAAGCTCCCAGAAAGAGCAAGAAATGGAAAAAAGACTCAAAAAGAATGAAGAGACATTTAGGGAAATGCAAGACAATCTGAAACATAATAATATCCTTATAATAGGATACCAGAGGAAGAGAAGCAATGGATAGAAAACCTGTTTGAAAAAGTAATGATGGAAAACTTCTGTAATTGGAGGAGAGAAAAAGTCACACAAGTCCAGGAAGCACAGAGGGTCCCATTCAAGAGGAACCCAAAGAGGCCCACTCCAAAACACATCATCATTAAAATGGCAAATATCAAGAGACAAACAGAATCCTAAAGGCAGCAAGGGAGAGACAGGTAGTAACAAGCAAGGGAGTTCCAATATGGCTAGCAGCTGATTTCTCAACAGAAACACTACAAGCAAGAAGGGAATGGCAAGAAATATTCCATGTAATAAAAAGCAAAGGCTTGCAACCAAGACTGCTCTACCCAGCAAGGTTCTCAATTAAAAAGGAAGGCAAAATAAGGAGTTTCCCAGACAAAAGAAGGCTAAAAGAATATATCTCCACCAAACCAGCATTGCAAAATATGCTAAAAAGACTGCTTTAAGAAGATGAAGAAAAAGAGTCTATGAATACCCAGTCCTTTCACAGTTACCAAGACTTGATATTATGAATATTTTTAATACTTATTAATCTGATTGTGACAATGATGTGTCATGCTGTTACTTTATTATTTGTTGCAACTAAACCTATTTTTGTATATTTCTTGCCTATTTCTATTATTTTTAAAAAGCTTTAAATGATTTTTTGGTATTCTTTATCCATTTTTTGATTAAATGTTTAGAGAATTTTTGCCCTAAAAAAACTCAAAAACTATTAACTCTTTTTTAGATGTGTTGTAAATACTTTACTATTCTGTTACTTGTCCTTTAACTTTTTTTATATGTATATTACTATACAGTCTTAAATGTTTAATATAGTTATATTGTCAATACTTTACTTTTATAGCTTATGGGTTTCAATATGTTACCTCAGGGTAAGAAGAATATTATTTTTTAATTTTCTCCGAAAACTCCTTAGATTTTACATACTGATTTTTAATTCACCCAAATATTTTCTGTATAATGTGTGAAATAGGGCTATATATTTGTTTTATTTCAAGTAATAGTGGTCCATGCACCTTATTTGTTGAATAAGTCTTATTGTCCCCATTGATTTGAAATATCGATTTAATCATATATTACATTGTTAGATATAGATGTTTGTTTCTAGAATGGTCATTTTATTTCATTGATCTATATGATTATTTCTGTGCTGGTGTCATATTGTTTCAATTGCTAAGACTTTATAATGGATTTAAATTTCTTATTATTTTATAATGGATCTTGACATTTAAAAAATAAATAAGTAAAATCAATCTGCATTTTTAAAAAAGGAAAGAAAGAAGGAACTCCTACCTTTTGTGACAACATGGATGGAACTGGAGAATATTATGCTAAGTGAAATAAGCCAGTTGGTGAAAGACAAATACCATATGATCTCACCTATAAGTGGAATCTAGTCAACAAGATAAACTAGCAAACAAAATAAACCACAAGCATGGAAACATGGAGCAGCCTGAAAGTGACCTGAAGGGATGGGGAAGGAGGACGATGGTGGAAAGAAGAAGGGACTAAACAAAGAACACGTATGAATGACCCATGGACATGGACAACAGAGTGGGAACTGACTGTGGGAGCGGGGTTGGGGGTGGATGGGTAAAGCAGGGCAAAGGGGGAAAAACTGAGATAAGTGTAATAGAATAAACATGATTTAAAAATAAAGAAAAAACAGAGAATGATAAATTATCATTTATGCTGTCTTCTCTTTGTTTGGACTATTTTAGCTATTCTCTCAGAGAATAATAACTGTGTGGAAACTAAGAATCACCACCTTTATAACTTCTCTTTTGATGTGAATATCATAATAGTGAGACATCAATATATAAATTACACTGAAACCTTACCATGACAATGCCATTCCATCCAAGCAATGGAATTATGTAATTGTCCAGTAGGTTTTACGAGGTCATTCAAAACGTCTCACAACTAATCCCTTACTCTTCGACCTCCAGCTCTAGGACGTAAGTCAAGAAGGATCCACATTATATTGTAAATTATTCATGTATATTTAAGTATGAGACACCAAACACAAATTCAAAAAAGCAATTTTCTGCCTCATCAGAACTCCCTTTTACCACACAAGTATGGCTTCCATTACCTTATTGTATAAAATACTATAATCTATTTTTATCAGTCATTAGAAAAAGCTAAAGAGCTACCCATTATGAAAGATCAGCATCATCAATGAGCCTTCTGAAATGCACAACTTTATCCATTACATGCTGTCTATCAAAAAAAGATCTAAAGTATCTAATAAGAAAATAATGATTTTAAGCAAAGAGAATCTACCTTATTGATCTCTTTAAGCATTCATTATTTGTAAGGTACATTTAAAAACATGATGCCAAAGAAAGAAATATATACGAAAAATCTATACAATAACAACATGAAGCTGTAAGCTTGAACAAAACTATTCTGGCTTTCAAGTTTTATCTACCTCAAAGAGAAGACCACAATACATCCTTAAAAACCAAACCCTTCAAACCAAAGAGTGGTATGATCAAAATAACTTAAAATAAAACTTACATAAGATAATTTGAAGATAGGACAAAATTAAGAGGTTGAAAGCATCATTACTAAGGGAATCAGGTTTTTAGGATTATAATTTTTGAAGTCATAGGTCAAATAGAAAACAGACACAAAAGAGTACAAACATACTCTATGATTCCATTCATATTATATTTTATAACAGGCAAAAATAAACTAGTCATAGAAAGACCAGTGGAAGCCTGAAGCTGGGGTTGGGAAGTAGACTACCAGAAGGCACAGGAGAATCTGTGGGTAATGGAAATGTCCCATCCCTGGATGGTGGTGGTAGCTACATGACTGTATGCATTTGCTTTAACTCATCAAATGCTTCATTTAAAACAGGTTCATTTATTGTATTTAAATTATATCTCAGTAAAGTTGATTTTTTTAACAAAGTATTGCTCAGACAACATCCACACTCACCCCATTTTCTTTCTAAGCATTACAGAAATAACCTACACATACCTGAAGCTGTGCCACAGCATGGTGGTACCCACCATGCTGAAGAAAAGATGCTTGCAATCACATCAGGTGGAAAAAGTGTCACATTTCTCTGAATCTGAAGTAAATTTAACACTAATGCCAGAAATACCCCAATAAAAAACAGCACTACTCCTCGAATCATCAAATTTACACTCCGGCTAGTCACAGATGAGATATAGGGGCCACGCTTTTTGGTCCCAGGTGACTCTGTCTCTCCTTCCGCCATGGTTTCATAAGTTCAGTAAGCTGGGGGGGGAAAAAAAAAAGACTTCCCAGCTGAAAAGACAAGTGTCTGTGAATCAAAGCAGACTGGCGTTTCAACAGTACCACATCTTGTCCCAAAAACAGGACCTACCAGAAATCCTGCAAGAGATAAGAAAATAAAAATCAATGTGGGTCTAATATTGAATAAATGATTATATAATTTTCCTGATTTCAATGCTAATTAATTTAAAAGGACAAATTATGAAATAACAATCTTATACAGCTATTTAAATTAATTACTAAAAAAAGAGGTTAAAAAAATTCTGTATGAATGATGTAATTTTTTAACAGTGCAACACTTAACATTTACTAGGACAGAATAAGTAACTTAAGAGACAAAAGCTAAAATAATAGTAAGAACAGCTTGTACCACCTCAGAGAAAAGTAGAACAGGTTTTATGAGACACTTCCATTAGAATCTGAAAGATTTGTTTCTTGTACATAAATCTTTATACTTCACAGAAAATAAATTTATACTTTACAGAAAATTAACACATTCTGACCAAAAATGTTGAATTGTTCACAATAAATTGTGACTTGCCCTGAGGACAACCTTTAGTGGGGGACAAAATGATGTGTTTTAATGTTTAATGAGTATATATTTGAATTTCTGCAAAAAGTGTCTTACCAAAAGTAGACCACCACTCAGTCACCTATATATATACCAAGCACTGAAACCAGACCTGACCTGTTTTCTCCAGAGCCACAGCTGTGTCCCACCCAAGCCTTGACCCAATCAACCTTTGTTGCAATCATGGGAGCTTTTGTGAGAGCTGGAGTAGGAAGCAGAAGAAAGGGAGCTAAGAAAATGCAGAATAACCTAGATTCTGATGAAGAAGCTAGATTCTAACAGGTTTTATCCACATAGATCCTGACTCCTAAAACCTAGAACTTAGCTAATTTAATCAGTGTAGGTATTTGTTCACTCCTCTAACCAAAGTAATCTTTCCTTTCTGTTTAAGACAATATTTGAGGCTTTCTATCAGCGGTCCTAAGCACCTGACATGTGGTCACTCATAGAACTCTCACAGTAACTCTAAAAGATAAGTGCGATTACTATGTCCATTTTATAGGTAAGGCAAGAAAGTAAAAGAAGGTTAAGTCTTTCAACCAAATTTACACCCCTAATAAGAGGCTGAGCTGGAATCTGAACCCATGCCATCTCTCTCCAAAGCCCTCATCCTAATCATGAGATTCCTCCCAAAGTGGCACACATTCTTCTGTGTATCCTATAAATAATTTTTAATGAGAAAATACTATATACACTATTTTTGTAACTTACTTTTATCCCACCCAACAATAATATATCTTGGGCATCATCACAAGTCAGCACATAAATGATGTTTCCTTTGAATATCAAAGCAGTTTATTTAAAAGGTTAGGGTGGCACGTCTAATTGCTTCCTTATAATAATATGTATAGCGCTTTATGAATTATAACTTTTCATATAGGTCTTAATCACTATTAAGTCTCTACTGTGCCTATGTATCCAGAAAGGTGCGTGCCTAGACCACAGTGGGAACTCTATATATTCGTATTTGTTTTATGATATTGGGCTAACTCTTTTTGAAGCAAACTCCTTGGGCTAAACAGGCCTTTTAGAAGGCAAACTGAGCACTTGACCATCATTTAAAACTCCATTTTTTGCCATGTATAGTGCACATTTTTTTGCCCAAACTTTTTAGGGAAAAATAAGGATGCACATTCTACATGGGTAGTACTGGTTCATGCACATTATACATGGGCAGCGCTAAAACTGTGGGTGCGTATTGTACATGGGACCACATTATAGATGGGAAAGTACAGTATGCTTCCTTTTGAGTTTCCAAGTTTCAAATTACCGTACAAATGAACTTTGGAACAAAACCCATGTGTGAATTGGAGAGAGGGGGTTACTGCCTTTAGAAATAATCAATATAAAACTATCTGTACAGTACTAGCAATTTTCACAGCCTCTCAGTTTCATGTGATAAAAACAGACAACAGACTTCTTTACTAAGCCTCTGCCACACCCAAAGCTCTGTGTCCAACACTCCAGGTAGGGAATTCTGGCCTCAAGCTAGTCCTCACAAACTTACTTAACCCATAGCATAACTAAGCCCTCAGCAGGGGTGTCCAACCTGAGGCTCACTCAGGGTGGCTATGAATGTGGCCCAACACAAAATCATAAATTTACTTAAAATATGACGAGACTTTTTTGTGATTATGTGTCACAATGTACTTAATGTGTGGCCCAAGATAACTCTTCTTCTTCTACTGTGGCCCACAAATGCCAAAAGGTTGGACACCCCTGCACAGCTTAGAGGACTAGAGAAAATAGTACAGCTGATTCATGAGAAAACAGACTCTGAACACAATTTGAAAATGCCCAGGAAATATCTCCTCCTGACCTGGTCTCACAGGCCGTTCCTTGCTATAGTACGCAGCGCATCAGCAAGCCTTGTGTTCTAGCTACCTAAGCAAGGCGTTCAGTAGCTACAGAATTCTTCTTCATCTTCATTGTCATGATTATCATCATTATCACTACTGACATAGCACCCATTTACAGAGCGCCTAGTCCATGCCAGACATACAGTAACTCTAATCTTCAAAACCCTAAAGGTAGGTATTATCCTCATTTTTATAAACGAAGATAATAAGTCAAAGAGATTTAGCAACTTGCTTATGGTCTCATGACATGCAATATTAGAACTGGAATTCTTCCTTACATCTGACTGATTCCAAAACCCCTTCTCTTCCCTCTAAACCTTGAGTCTCATTCCTGCCTAACTCCTAAGGCACCTGGGTCTATAGAAGAGGATTTCGTTACTGAAAAGATGGGTATGAGGCAGGGTAGTAAGAAGCTAGGAAAATTCCTTGGCAAGTGAAATGAGGAAACTGAGTCAGAAAGCTGATTCAGACCCACCCCATCCAGCCCCTGACCCACCAGTATCCTTCTCCCTTGCAGGAGCACTCCCTTAAGCTTTAAGCCCTCAGGACAATGAAGTTCTGATTAGCATCAAATAATCTTAGGAACACAGCCTTGGGTCTGTTGACCAAAACTCTGTGTCTGTGGCCACAGTTATATTTCAGCTCCAGGCCCAGAAAAGCAGCAAAACCAGATGAAGCAATGCCTTGTCTGACATCAGGACCAAATGCAATGACTAATGACCCCCTAACCTAGAACTGACCAATCAGTAGAGACCATGACCCAGCAAGGACACACCTGGAAAATTGATGAATAGTCTATTGAGGTCTTCCCCTGAGACCTCCCCTGAAATTCCCTTTAGAAAACAAATAAAAACCCTTAAGACAAAGAGCCCAGTGCCAGTTCTCTCTCTAGAGCAAGCCCATACTTTCCCTCCACCACTTTCTTCCCTCAGGCATGTACTTTTGCTTTCTTTCTTCTAAGCTCCAAGGGCCCTTCTTTTGCCTCTGTAACTTGTTTTCTGAATTCACACAGCCCAGCTGGCTACCTTTTTCTATCTCTCTGACTTTCTAAATAAATTTCTTGCACTAGAGTTCTTGGCTCTGAATTCTTTCTTTGCCAAACGCAACAACTAACGTCTAACACTGCTACTAACAGAGAGATGTTAGAAAACAATCTCAACTATGATATATTCTCAAGGTACTGATGCTAATATCAGTAGGAGACTATATAATCACAAAGACCATGAGAATAAATGTACAAACATCTTGAAATTTTCTTTCAGTCCACAGGCCAGCACTCAGTCCACTGAGCCATACCAACCAATGCGAAATTTTTTTTTAATGTACTAGATCGAGTGGAAAAAAAATGTTTTAAAGAAAACAAAAATCATATTGCCAACTTAACATACTGCACTGGACCAACAGTAGATGCTTTACTTTCCAAACTTCCCGTAAACACAGCAAACCTCGTTTTTAGCTGTTAAAACAACTACTTGTTGACCTTTGCAGAACACAGGGGTTAGGGGCACTATACTTGCAATTGAAAATCTGTGTATAATTTCTGACTCTCCAAAAATCTTAACTGTAGTTGGCTCTCGGTATCCACAAGGGATTGGTTCAGGACTGCCTACATACCAAAATCTGCAGATGTTCAAGTTCCTTATATAATATGGCATACAGCAGTGCACACAGTCAGTTGTCACATCTGTGGGTTCCCAACTATGGAAATACTGTTTTCGATCCATGGTTGCAACCATGGATCTGAAGATGCAAAACCTGTAGTACCAAGGGCCAAATGTATTTACTGGAAGAAAAAGAAATCTGCATATGAATGGGCTCACGCAGTTCAAACCCCTGTTGTTCGAGGGTGAATTGTGTATACATTTTAAGTAATCCAAACTGCTCTCATAAATCATTTGTTCATGCAGTTATTTCAGCTGTGGTAGGCCTCATCTCACAATCACTCACCAGTGTTTGTCAAAAGGCTTTGTAACTTTGGGCTGGACAACCCCTTGTTGTGTAGAACCTCCCCAAACATTGCAAAACACAGAGCATCCCTGGCTTGTACCCACTAGATGCCACTACAAGCCCCTTCCCCAATTTGAGACAATTAAAAATGCCGCTATAGATTTCCAAATGCCCGCATAGAGGCAATGCTCTCCACTGAGAGCCACTGATTGCTAGAGACTCTTTCCTCATTTGATTTCAAGGCTGATAGAAACTTTCTAAACTGTTTATGTCATTCTACCACAGCTGTTTATTCAACCTTTCCTGGTAATGCTTGTTTATAGTTTCCCCCTTCACGCCAAAAGTTTTCTTTAAGAATAACATGACATTTCCTTGATGTTTATTTTAATGAGATATTTTAAGATTTTTTAAAAGTCTAAAAACCTAATTTTGTGACTACATAATATAATAGTATATAATTACTGTAGAAAAAATTAAGTTTAAATGCTTTAGAATCACACTGTCCTAAAATTTCAGAAATGACAGGGAAATGAGAGATCACCTATTCCAAGGGGTATGTGAACCTAATGCAGAAGAAAAGCAAACCAAAAAAAGTTGTACATGTGTGCATTTTTCTCAGAAGACAGTTCTGCAATTTATATCAAGTACTCAAAAAGTCCCCAATCCAAAAGAAGTTAAGAAGCAGTGATCTAACTGTTCTCTCATTTTACTGGCAAAGAAAATGAGACTCAATGTGGTCATGTGAAGTGACAAAATCAAGACTGTGTTCTACTGGATCTTCCTACCACAATCATGTAAAGTGAATTCTTGGAAATACCCAGGTTCAACAAAGGGATAAGAAGTTCCACTAGACCGTCCCTTCTCTACTGTGGAACATTTAAGTTACTAAAAAATAATATTGTTTATAATATTAGTCACACACTAGGGGAGTGGGTTACTTTGTTTTTGTCTCCTGTCCTCTTTATTTATTATTATTTTGTGAGTATACATAGTTAAAATTTAGCTAAACAGTAGATTTTGGTAAATCATGATATAGACTTGGCTCTCTGGAACTTAACTTCAAATCTTCAGATAAGAGACTATACTGCAGGGTTTCTTTGGGCACTAACCATTGTGATGGGAAAGGGACTATAATTGGTTTAGTTAGGAGCAGGTGAACATCCTTAACACAAAAATCTCTAGAAAAATATTCAGTCATATTACAATTATAGAATGTGGATTTTTTGGTAAATATATGTAACTTAATTATCATAAAAGCTCTTTTTTTGTGGTGAAGGCTGAGGGTGGGGCCTGGGTGGAGGGGGACAAAGTGGGGGGAAATTGGGGACTTCTGTAATAGTGTCAATGATAAAAAAAAAGGGGGAGAGAGAATTATTTTAAAGTGAAACCTCTTAGAATAAGTATTCCCTATTTAGTTTGTTTTAAAGTTTGGTTTTCTGATTACGTATTGAAATTATTTTCTTTAAACAAAGCATACCTATAGCTTTAAATATGACTCTTACATCAATAATAAATTTGATTCTCCAAAATTAAAGTAATAATCTATACTTGAAAAATCTGAATTACTCAAGAAATGACTTGCTGATCAGGGAAGAAGTCTCTGGGATAAAGATACCCTTTAGATGATAATATCTCAATAGATCCTCAACAATAATCTTGGTAAGTAGGCAGGTGTTTTTAATCCCCATTTTATAAAATAAAATAGGTTAAGTAACTCTCTGAGATCATAAAACTGTTACCAGCTAGCTTGTGTCAGTATTAGCCACAAGCATTCTGACTCTATGTCCAGAGTACTTCCCATTTCACTTCACTGCCTCCATCTATAAACACCATCCCAAAGCAATTTAAGTGCTACATAAAAAAGTTTTTAAAGTTATGTTGATAAACTACTGTTAATAACAAAATAAGCTTTTTTTTGCCAACTGACACAGAAAAACTTCCAGAGAGCATGAAAAATTCTACCTTGAGCCTTTACTTACAATTTCTATAACACACATTACTGAACCAAAAAAAAAAAAAAAGTTCAAATAATTTGTATAGATAAATGACAAATAATCAAAACTGGGAAGACATTATACCAGGTATATGACTACCGGTTAGTGGGTTAATATTAATTACTTCTAGATGAATAAATGAGCATTATAAATGATTCTGGGTCTTGTTAATGAAAATTGAAATTGGCATTTGCCACTGAAACAATTTCAGCAATAAGCTACTGAAAACGAACACACAAAATCTCCTAGTGACCTTAAGAACCAGCTGCATCTAACAATAGCAACAACCCCTAAAATGAAACAAGATCATTCACTGACTAATGATTAGTAGTCACAGAAGTATGTTGCTCCCTCATAGTACCCTGTCTCTTCAGGTGCTTAGGTCACAGAAGCTACTCAACAGTTAAATGAAATTACTACCTCACATCTTTTTCATCATATGTCTCTTAATTAGAACGACATTCTCAAAATAGAGTAAGCATTAACATTAGGAAAAACACACCTAAATCAATGAAAAAGTTTAACTTTCCTTAAATATAAGCACACACATGTGAGTCATAGGCTACAGACACTAAAAACTTCCAGGAAGAAAAATGTTTGCCTTGAAGACACCGAAACTCACCTTTCCTCTCAATATTAAAACCCCAACAGAAACCATTAACCAAGCAGCATTCACATTCCATTCCTGGCTTTAAATGTCAAATTTCAGTCTCTAAAAAGCTTACTCCACCGTTTGGGAATAATTTTCTGATAATCATAAAAACAAGCTGTCTTTAAACTACTGAGTTACATTTTATCCTTCCTTTTCAGCCCACCATATATAAAAGCAACAGTTGTCAGTTGAAAAGAATCAACCTCTTTCCCAAATGTACCAGATTCACATCTTGGTCGCTTTATATCAAATATGTACTGAGAACTGTAACAAAATACACTACGGGACATAATGTCCAGAAAAAGAATGACGGTGGAAAATAAAAAGAATACATACATGGTTAATCTTTTCCTGTGGGAACCCTATTAGTGTCAGCATCCTCTTCGTTTTCACAGGTTTATATGAAGGCTAAACCCAAAAGCTGGAAAAAACAATTCTAACTACTGTTTGGCTGCCTTCATTCTTCCTGCATCCAGAACCGGAGTGTGCCTTCCCTGCAGTCCTCAGCTCCACTGCAGTACTGATCGGGGTCAGTTCCAGTGACCCAGCTGTCAAGTCTATCAATTCCTTCTTAAAGCATTTCTTCATCAATCCTACAAAATAGTAAGCTCTTCATGGTATATTTTCCTATCCAGCTAACACTTCAATAACTTCTTTCCAGTACTAACTGGGCCTTAGTCCTTGTCACTTCTTTTACCACCCTTTCCCGGTCCCCCATCATCTACACTGCTTTCCTTTTCCAGACAGTTAATCTCCACTGACCAACTCTAAAATCGCATAGTGAGTTACCATCAACCGACTTCTGGGTGGGTCTTAACGAGAGTTCTCTTTGGCATACCCACACACCTTCTCCCAAGGTTTCCAATTCCAATTCTAAATGCCAAAGTCCCACTCCTCAACCCATGCCGTTGTGTGGATTCCAAACTTACTGCAATTTCTACCGTTTTGGATCCACCACCCTCCCAAATCTGGGTCTCCCTGACTACAAGCCTCCCAAGTCCTGACAGCTCTAGGCTGGACAGCTCGCCGACCTCCTCCACCCCCATCAGATCTCCAGGGTCTCCCCGCCGTCCTCCAGCCTTCTTTCCTCTCCGACACTCTTCCACTCTCTAGGGAGCCTCAGCCACTCCTATTACCTCTCCCCAACCCCATTGTCCCCTTGAACCTCTCCGACCAGTCTCCAGGTGAGGGGAAGCCCTCGGCCTTCAGGCCCCATCTGCACTCCTGGCTCCCCGCCTTGGCAGCAGGGTTCCTAGAATGCAAAATCACCAGCAGTTCCTCTCCCCGAAGGCTATCCACTTCCTCAGGCCACTTGCCTCAGGATCGAGTCACTGGTGCTTCGCAGGAGGACCCTAACTCACCCCCGCCTCCGCCATCTTCTGGGACCGGTCCGGCCCCCACTCTGCGTCTTCCTTTTCTCCTCCCACAACTCCGCCTGAGCTTCACTGCGCCTGTGCACACGCTGACGCGCCCCGAATATCGGGGCAGAAAAGCTTCCGGTCTGACCTGCCTAGTTGGTAGGCCAGCGAGCCGGGGCAAAAGGGTTTCCGCTCCTCCCGAAATTGGCAATTGGTTGTAGGCATGGGCTGTCTAGGTAGTGGGAGGGTGCCAGATCAGCTCTTATTTGCTGACCAGGCGGTCGTAGGTTGTGACGAGTGCCCAGACCCTGTGGGCGGTGTAAGGTAATTGTGCACTGACACGCGTACAGTCATTGGAAGGCGCAGCCGTCACCCTGTCCCTGTCCTCGCAGCCGAATGGAGGGCTCTGGAGTCCAGGCCTCCGGGTTCTCCCTCTAAGGATGCTGACTGTACCTTTGTGCTTTTGCTGGGCTTTACTCTTTACTTTTTTTCCTTCCTCAAGACCATTGTAATCTGGCCACATCCATATTATTGTACTCCTGATAAGTAAGAAGTTGTAAGGTTCTGTATTTTCCCTGCTTTGCTGTAAACCTCCCAAGCTCTTCCTTCGAAAACCGTGTTACCTGGTCGAACCTGCTGAATGATTGTCAATGAAATCCTCATGGAAGTGATGTGAAATGGATGTGGTCAGGTTACAATGGGCTTAAGGAAAGTTTGAAATGAAATTTAGGCCTAGAGTAATTGCTTAAAAGCTTTGCAAAGGAGTGTCAATTGGTGAAATTCCTTTGTTGTTTTTACTTTGAACTGGTAAATGATAAGATGGGTTTTTTTATGTTTCTGGCTTTTTTATCAGTACGTTTATTTACAAGGTTGAGGGAGAATTAAATTGCAACAAAACGCATCTAGGCAAGTATTTATATGACCTTGTTTTCTCTAATGTCTTCTATAGCTCTTAAATTTCTCTCCTGTAGGTTTTTACACTACCAGTAAAAAATAAGTAAATAAGTAAATAAAATCTGGGCTGATTATATACTAAATAAATGAGAAATTTTAAAGAATCAACCAAAAGAGGCACAACTTAATGGAAACATTAAAATCTCAAATTAATTAATGCCAAAATATAAACTAAGAACTTAGAGAAATCAGAACTACCTTGGATTACTTTGAATTTGGTGTAATAAGGTCAATGGAACACTGGTAAAGGAATCTTAAAATCTGGTGCTGTGACAGCAAGTGCATATTCATGTACAATAAATTCATTTTTAGGCTTCTTTTCTCATTTATAAAATGAAGGATTGATTTAGATTATTTCTAAGGTCCTTTTCATAAGCAAATTATCAATGGTTTGAAAACCCGTGACTTCAGAGAAAGTTTTTTCTGCTAACCTTACATGTTGTGTGGTCTCCTGACTGAATGGGCCAAGAGGTAAACTAGAAAACAAATGAACAAAAAAGCCCTTTACTTAGCTAATACAAACACCCACACATTTATTTGCCTTGTTGAAGTGAGATATTGTTAGACTAATATAATTGCCCAGGGGTTGATTACTAAGCCTTTAGTAAGCGTCTAAGAATCTTGGACTCAGATGGATGCCTTACTCAAAAACTTCCAGAGGGGAAAAAAAGTATGGAGATATTTATCATCTTTGTAGCACGTGTCTCAATTTAAAATTATATATTAACTGTTTACTACGTGTTCCCCCAATTAAACTACAAACTTCACAAAAATAGGAACCTTGTTTTACTTTCCTTCGGAGGTCCAGTGCCAAGTGTTTGGATGTGCTAGGTGTTCAGGCAATAGCTTTGAGGGATGAATAGATTAATAAATGATCCATCCTGTAACCTCCAAAAGACAAAATTCCTTGGCTTTTTGTGTCCCTCACAATATGGATGCCTTCATTAGAACACCACACCAAAGACCAAAAACCAAATAAGTAGGATTGTGTATAGTGTTTGGGGTTCTACTATGGTTACAAAAGTATTTTTACAAAGCCTTCTTCTACAACCAGTATTTGCCCTAAAGTATCATAAATAAATTTGTCTTAGAATCTGCACTGTTTAGTATGGCAGGCGCTAGCCATTTGCAGCTATTTAAATTAATTAGAACAAAATAAACTTAAAATTCAATTTCTTGGTCACACTAGCCACATAACAAGTGTGCAAGAGCCCCACATGGACATTTCTATCATCACATGAAGTTTTACTGGAAAGCACTGTATTAGATGATTTATATAAATTTAGCTTTCTCAAAATGCTGACAAGGTTAGAAAAAAAACAAGAAATGGAGGTGAAATGAATCATTACCTACTATCAGGCCACCTAAAGTTTATAAGGTCTTTTAGCATATTGGAGACAGAATTTGGTAATGCAAAGGAGTCCAGTAGTTTTAGTTTTACCTTGGGGAAAATTTGAGTTATGGCAATCTAAGTTTTACCTGGTACCAACCTCTTCCAGAGGGAAGGGTCAATTTCAAAAGCCAATTTGGTTTTTCAGCAAGAATCATGAGTATGTAGCCTGTAGAAAGTCTGCAGTATGTAATGTGGGCCAGCTTATCAAGAAAAACTCTCCTGCTGAAAACAAAAGTGTTTGTTGGAATATATTTTAAGTGTCATCAAAGAACTGAAAAAGTAAAGAGGGATTACCAAGCCAAAATCTAAGGGAAAGTAGGACCCTCGAGAAGTAAACATAGCAAGGAAGGCACTCTTGCCATGAAATTTTTTATGATTGGAAAATATTGAGATTTTGCTTTGACAGATTTTTTCAGACAAGAAGCCAAATATAAAATCATTGAGCCTGCTAAGCTTGGGATTCAGAAGCCTCCCATTTAAAAGGCTGTACCTCAAAGAACAGCATCATTAGAATAATATGAAGTAATACCACTTCCACACTGGAGAATAATCGGAGCTGAGAGAAATAAAAACATAAAAAATATGTACCTGTGGAAATGTGGCCACAAGCTGGTCCTCAGGCAAATTTGCATTGCAAATTCATACCCCACCTCAGTAAATACAAAAACTTGCTGTCTAACTTTGTTTAAAATGGTCTTAGACTGATACGGTCCAAATGCCTGTGAAGTGAACCCTTGTAAATGTTGTGTCCAGGCTTTTTACAAGTATCTAGCTCACAGTTAATACATCTGCACATTTCTTTTGTAACATTCACCTTAACCAGGTCTCCATAGCTTTTAACTTAATTTATCATAGACATAAAACTGCCCCTTTATATTTTCATGTCATCAATTTACAAATTTTGTATTACATTATGTAATTACAAGGACACAGCTGGCAACAATCACAACAGACTCTTAATGGATACACAACCTAGTTGCTGGGCTGCAAGTGCATGGGGCAACTAGCTCCAGGAATGAATAGCCTCTAGCAGGGAAAGGAGGCTGTCATTTTACTTTAAGTGTAGGATCTTACATCTTTTGTCAGTGATGTGAGGTAGATAAGAGAGGCTCAGAGAGGAAGGATTTGCCCAAGTAGTTGGGTCAAAAAGATCTTTTGATTCCTAATCCAGTGATTTTTTCCCCCCAAAGGACCATGTTTTAAGTCATTTAGATCATGTAAAATAAAATTTTTTCTGTTGTATTAATTTAATGGACCCTGAGATGGTAATAGGTAATTCTTGGTATATTTAGAGATAAAGCTTTTATACATTTCCTTGATAATATGCCCAGAATATTCAATAGAACTTATCATCTTTTAACTCTCTATATAGAGGTAACCTCTCATTCAGTAGTAGTTAACAAATGTGAGGCGATTTCCTAATAGGGATGCTTATCTCCTTAGATAGAAATTTGTTAAATGTTTTATGCTATTATAGACGTGATTTTAATTTTTAAATCAATAACAAACTCTATACCACATTCAAACAAACTGAAAAAAAGGGTGGGGGAATAACAGAGGTACTTATAAATCAATCTAGTCACAAGCAGGCAAGCCAACCTGAATTCTCATGGTTGCATTGCTGCAATCTGTGATTATCCGTAAGATCAAAGCTGGTTTCAGAAAAAAGAAAAAGCATGGCCAAGGACGGAGGGGGTGGGGGGTCGCTGGACGGGGAATAGGACAGGCTGAACCTCGACAGTTCTGAAAGAAGACGGCAGTGGAAAGGGCATTCACCTTTAAATGGTGACCTTGGTGCACCCTTTTTGGGGTGCTTTTTGAGTCTGTAAGGAACAGTGATGACTAAAGTCAATAAATTGAATGTATATAAAGTCAATGGTCCCTGTAAGGCTTGATATGTATCGTCAAGCAACAAATAAACTAAACAAAGCCCAAACAAGGTCACCATGGATGAGCAAACAAATGCAGAACAGCTCTAAGACAAAGTCCCTGAGGTATAAAACATCAGGGTGAGAAGACAATTGGAAAGACTATAAACTATTTGTCAGAGAAGCCATAATAGAGACCAAGGATAAAGAGGCAACACTAGCTATTATTACAAGGGCCCACACAATTTGAGGTCAAAATACAGGAGATGTTCTCTAAAAGATTTACGCTAATTCAGCTCTGTGGCATTCATTATGATTGAATTTCCTCTGATTTTCCAGCTGTGTATGTGTGTGTGTGTGTGTGAGAGAGAGAGAGAGAGAGAGAGAGAGAGAGAGAGAGAGAGAGAGAGAGATTGATTCACAAAGCAGAGGATTTTATCTGATAATAGATCACCCAAAAGATCAAATAGTTAAAAAACTTTCCGAGAAAAATACATATAAGACTAAGTGGTATAATAAACATAAAACACAGCTATAGAAATCCTAGGGCTTGAATTTAGATTTCTTGTGGGATGCAGATTTGCCAAAAAACAAAAGAAATTTTCCACAGAAATAAAGTATTTGAAATGATTTTAAATCTAATTTTTTTGGAATTTGTGAGGGATTGCTTTTTTTAATGACTAGGAATTAATGCTCTGATAATAATTAGAGAGAATTGTAAAAAAACTTAAGACTTTTCAGCAGATCTTAGATTTATAAAATTAATTTTAGTATCGAAGTATGATAGAACCATACAAGACATTCCAAATTGAGAAACAATATGTGTAGCTCAATGATGGCTTGGAGAGTCCTGGTGATGCTTAATAGTCTCAGAGGGTTTATCAGACACCTAAGCTCC